TTACTATTTCGGTTAACCAACAGCTTTCCGTTTTTCGCCCGCAAACATGTAATTGGCGAATTTTTTTTCGATTTTACTACTTTATCCATACATTTTCTAGCCCTCTTGTTATCATTAGGGGGCTCAAAGGCGTTCGTCTATCTTTCCCTCAATAAACTGATACTGACACTTGGTGTTAGGGTTTTGCAGCCTACTCTAATTGCAATGGCTCAAATTGTCTTTCTCCCTTCAGATCTCGCCTCGCAGCTGAGCTCACATGTTTTAATTATGGACGAAGTGGATGGTATGGCAGGCAACGAAGACCGCGGTGGCATGCAAGAGCTCATCGCTGTCATCAAGACCAGTAGGGTTCCAATCATATGCCTCTGCAATGACCGCCAGTCTCCAAAGGTAACCTTTACAAAACACATCCTACTAGATACATCTGAGTAGTAGAATTCGTGTCACAAATCATTTTATGCCTTCGGTTTTTGCAGGTGAGGTCCCTGGCAAACTACTGCCTCGACCTGCGATTCCATCGGCCTCGGATGGAGCAGATAAAGGCAGCTGTGCTGTCTTTGGCCTGTCGAGAGTCAGTGACCATTGGCAACCATGTCCTGGAGGGAATAATAGCCGCTAGCAATCAGGACATGCGTCAGGTATGTGCTCTTTTTATGTTATTCTACAGTTTTGTTTTTCTTTTGTGTGGATCTTCATTTGTTTAGCTGCCGGCCTATTCCGATTGCTAATAGCCTAGGGGTCATTAATTTGTTTAATCTTTTTTGTGTCTACGAGTAGTTTGTAGGTAATGGCCTATACAGACCATTTAGATTGTACAGGACGAGGCCGTAGTTTATATTGAGCAGTGCTTTTACCTGTTCTCTTTGGATTGCAGTCATAATTCATACCTATCTAGACTGTCGCATGGAAAATTGGGATTCTTTCAATTGTATAGTGCTTTTCGGTATAATGATTGACTCCAATGCATCCAAGGGATGCTTTCGCATGTGTCGATTAGTACTCACTTGTTAAACCTTTCCGCGTGCTGTGCTTTATCGTCTTTTGGGGCTCCGCTTATCGCAGTGGCTTAAGCTAATAAGTAAAACCCCCGCCAGGAAAGATAAGAAATTAGAAGCCAGGTGGGGGAGGAGGAGGAGTAGGAGGGGAAGGTTGATTGTCGGACGAGCGCGCGTCCGCTCCCGAAGGGGGGTGACATCCAGAGTGTGTGGCAGTCATCACAGTTATGTGCTATGAGAATAAGCCACAGGGAGATTATTGGCCAAACTGAATTGGCCAGACAAGCGGGCTGGTGCATGCGCACTTACTAGCCCTACCGTGAGAGATTGGGTGTTGGTTCAGTTTGCGGCATCTGTGATTGGCTGTCCCAGAGGTGGGTCGAGACTTGCAATCACGTGATCTCATGTGTGCCTTTGTGTCGGGGCGCTAAAAGGTCACTACCGGCCTTCCTCTTTGCGCGTCCTGTTCAGAGGCTGCTTCGTCCCTTGAGTTCTCCTACTGTATCCGGCAGTCACACGTACGCCAAAACCAGTGATAACAGCTATCAATGTGGTATAGTACTATTAAGCAATAATAGTAACAGATAAAGTATACAAAACTCAACAATGGATACTCCAAGTCAAGAGTGAAGAGCGTTGGTCAAGGGGGGTGGTTCTGCTTTGATATAATTTCAAGAGGCAGTTCCTGTGGGCTCTCATTGGTCTGACAACAGCGCCAAAAACGGGCGGAGACGTGAACACAGGTAATACTGTGCCGGTGAGGGAGCAGGGGGGTTGCAAGCGTTTTAAGTCATTGGGGTGGTTGCACGAGTGGTTCTCGGAATAGACGCGGCAACTGGGGAACGGAAAGCTGGCTGGCTCCCGCCGTGTCAGTTCACGGTGGTCTCCATGTGAAACGTGAAAGTGTAAATCTGAAATGGGAAAATCGAAAGAAGGGGCGGAGACAGAGGGAGGGCAGTATTCAGTCATGTGCGTTTGAGTGAGGGAGAGCGGCCAGCGTTCAAGGTGGGAGGGGGACAGCCTTCGAAGGAGTGTAAACAGTGATTTTTGTAGGTCGGACGGGAATTTCATTGAATAAGGGATGTGGAGAATTCCAAACTAACAGAATAACAAACAAACAGAATAACAGAGACCATATAAGAATTTTCAGTTTTGATGCAATCTATTTACCCATTCGTACTTCAGCCTGCAGTGACTTGTGTGTCAAATGTAATTATTTTCTCTTTTGGTCTTATCATGTCCTTTCTGTGCGCTCTTTAGCCTAATCTCACGCAACCAAGAAACTGAAGCAAATTTTAACGCAACCCTTAACCCCAAGGAATTAAACACACTTCTCTTGCAAATATTTTGAAGCCACTGAAAGAGCCCAGTCGGAGTAGAGCCTCCTCTGCGGATTATAACTCTTCCGTTTAAGACTATGTCGCCTGTTTGTTGTCCTCTTGGGCTCCTTGTCATACGTATTTATTTTACAATCTCAGCAGCCCAGTCGGTAGGAGTAGAAAGCACGCTCGCCCTGTGGGTCAGATGTATTTACTTTCCCTCTTCATCCTACCGTCTCATTTCTTCCTGTTGCTGCCCGTTGCAGGTAATAAACTCAGTCCAGATGTGGTGCACTGACGGTACAGCGGCAGACAAGGAAATCAGCCTTGGTGCCGCCGGAGCCCAAAAGAACCTCCGGTTGGGACCCTTCGACGTCATTCGTAAGGTCTTCTCGCCCGATCTGGGCGGCAGTGGGGCTAACAAAACAGGACCCGCCTCATTTGC